CTCGAGGTATCACTCTTAATCAATCAAGTACTATTGAGAAGATGTTAAAGAGATTTAACTACACCGAGTATTATAAAGTCTTGACACTATATGATCCAAAAGTACACTTGAAGAAGAATGAAGGCAAACCTATATCTCAATTAAAATATTCTCAAGCTATAGGCTCTCTTTTATACTTGGTAAATAGAACTAGGCCTGATATTGTCTATGTTGTTGGTAGACTTAGTAGATATACGCATAATCCAAGTAAGAATCATTGAATGACGATAAATAGAGTATTTAAATATCTCAAGACTACCATAGATTATTCCTTGTGCTATAAAGGTTTTTCAAATGTGGTGGAAGGATATAGTGATGCAAATTGGATAACTGATAATCTAGAAGTAAAATCAACTAGTGGTTATTTATTTCTTCTTGGATGAGCTATATCTTGGAGTTCTAACAAACAAACTATTATCTCAAGGAATACTATGGAATATGAACTTATAGCCTTAGATATTACTTATAGCAAGGCTGAGTGGATCAAAGGCCTATTACTAGATCTACCTTTAATAGATAAGCCTATGCCTTTTATATCGATACATTGTGATTGTAAGGCGGCTATTGATTTGGTGAATTAATCCCATATATACAAGAAGGCGAATATACATATACAAGTGAGATATAAATCCATGAAAAAACTATTGAGTAGACATGTGATCTCATTAAACTTTGTAAGATCTGAGAAAAATATAGTTGATCAGCTGACCACGGGTATTTATAGGAAGATAGTCCTAGATAAGTCGAGGGAGATGGGCTTAAGCCCTATGGGAGTCACCTATAGAGGTAACCCAACCTTCTAATTAGCGATTTAATCACTTAAAGAAAGGTTCAATGGATAGAAATAATCAACAATGCGTGATTCATTGACAACACTCTTTTATTAGGAGGTTTTTTTAAGGAAATTCATTCTTGCTCATCCCTGTGGCATCAATGTTGTGATGCGACGTTAAGGAAGGGCTCTGCCCTAAATGATTTCAAGGCAGGCATACTCTCGCAGGGTATAGGTCACATATATCTTTGAAGGATTCACCTAAGTGAGAGCATGAGACCGTAACTAAAAGAATTGGGATATTCTCTAATAACTCTCATGAGAATCAAGATACCAATGTATGACCATCAATAGCGTTACCCCATTCGACCAAAGTTTGTCTTCGATACTTTGTGTGCAATATGTCGAAGTTTGGTTCAAAGGGCCAAATTCAAAGCATAGCTCATTCTAGTTCTTCAAATGAAAACTATTACACTAAGTGAAGGTTTGAGCTCAGAAAACACCTACACCAGTTGCATAGTACTATGTTGCCCATATTATTTTTATATATTATATACACATTTATGATTTAAAATAGTTTTAAAGTCTTGTGAGGGATTGTTGAGAATTTTAAAGATTTTAAAACTCCTTATATGTTTGAAAAGTTTTAATATCCTTTTATTATTTAATTTTCTTATTTGAAATTAAACTGTAACTTACATGGAATTAATTTACATTAATGTTGGACTATAACTTGTATAATTTATTGAGTTTTATTATAGCAAATAATGGTAATAATGAGTTAGTCGTTTGGCTTCTTGGGGAGGTCTATATATATGGCAATAGGATGCACACTCAATATATGATCAAACATATCTCATCTACCATATTTGCGTATTACTTTTCCTGCAATTATCTCTACCATATCTTTCATCTCCTTTACATATACTATTTTAGACAACTCGCCATTGGAGACTTAGTCCTTTTCCCTTAATGTGGTCGTGCACACAGAGGAGGTTGAAAGCTGATTGGGTTATATTTTGGAGTTGACTAGCACTGTTCGCACCTGCACGTAGGGGAGAGCTATCAACTTTAGGTCAACGTGTTTATCACGTCCTATCTATATCATGCCAGCCTTTCTTTAACTTTACTTTAATATTTTAGTTGTTTTATTTCATTGTCTTTTACATCTAACAATTATATTTTAAGTGTGTCTATATATATTTGTATGCGACTAAATACATACAAAACTACAATATTCCCATTGATTTAATTTCTGTAAAACTTACTTTACTTGTCAATTATATTTTTATAAAGTCTTAGTGTGATTCCTATTATAATATTTAAGTGCATAAAATTATATTTCCATAACACACATTTCACAATTAAACATGCTTTCAACATTATAGCAACTAAGATGCACATATAATCAACATCATCTCTAGACATGCTTTTTTTACTTAACATACAACATCATTTCAACTTCAAAACCTCCAATTTAAGCAAGTATAACATGGAATCAAAGCAAGAAACTCAAATATAAGTCAAAACTTAGTACTTTAAACATCCCTACCTCAAAGATGAACCCAAATGGAAGTAAGATCGGTATCAAATCGTAGCCCTTAAACAGTAGAACCAACTTCCCTTTTTGCACTTTGTTTAGATCTCAACCCAACTAGATCAAAGCTTAGAGAGAATATATAGTTTTAGAGAGAGAAAGGAAAATGAAGAGATAGAGAGAGAAAAAGAGGGCTGAAAATGAAGGAAAGAGAATAAGGTTAATGGTCAATTCTTAGTCCACTTGACCCTGTCCTCTTCCAAAATGAGTGGCTCAAAATGGGTCAAAGTTTACCCTATACCCTAATACCAGCAATAATGCCCTCCAAAATTCACCCAACTACACACCATGCCACAAAATATCTTATTCTACCCACTAGCCACATGTACACATATATATGTATTTATATCCATGCACATATACACATCAATGCTCTAATTAAATAATTTCATGATGATGAAAAATAATACCGGGACCCACACAATGCGCAAAACGATATACGATAAAGTAAATAAAAACAAATACCAAAAAAATTAGAAAAATCTGGGACATTATAGAATTCATTGCCTCTACCGACAACAAAACAACTGCTGTCCCAACTACATCCATTAGCAAAAACATATAGAACCCTAACCAGAGTAGCACCGTCTAGTCCTCGGGCTTTGCACTGTTGTTGCTCTTCCTCCATCGTTGCTTGACCTCAACTTGGCGCATCCCAAGGGAAGCTACCATTTCATCAGATCCATCCCAACAGTGGTGCATGTGGCCTCTGTTCCTTTTCAATAGCCTTTCGCATCCTGAGACTTTAAAATCTCAACCTCCCACATTTACCAAAAGTTACTTGATTTTGATTTCGATAATCTAATTGTGTTTTGATTTCTGTGTTACAACTTTGTTTTAGTCGCTTTTGTTTGAAGCGTGTGGTCGGACGTGAATCCGGTGAGTGGCAGTCACATGCTCGATTGTTCAAAACCCACGATGCCAAACCAGAATTGAGAAATTGGGGATAGAGAGAGAGATTATAGAACAACTTTTATGTTTTTATATCTGGTTTTTTATTTTTATTTTTATAAATATTATACAAGGGTAAAAAAGTAATTTCATTATTTAAATTAGTCAATTCATTAGGTGTCCGATGTGCTGGGGTGTCTTTGTCAACTTTATCAAACTTGAGAAGGTGTAATTATCCAAAAAAGGTTGAACTTGTATATGGTTATCCTTATGACAAACCTCAAGGGATGTCATTTTACTTTACCTATATATATATTATATAGTATCTTTTATAACAATATTAGTATTTATAGATATTTACTCCCCATCGGGCTTCTTCCATTCAGGAATCCACCATTCGTCTTTTTTAGGAATCCACTCGGGAGGAATGGACTCTTCTTCCCCAATAGTAGGGATGGCAATTTGTGTTGATGGGTCGTATTCATGTCGACATGATTACGACATGAATACAATTAAAGTCGACATGAACATGACACAATTATTAATCGTTAAACACGACATGAAATGTGTAATTTGTTTAATAAATGAGTAAATACTTGACACGACATATATGACACGAAAATACATGTTTAAGTCATTTTTGACATGAACACGATACGTTTAGCTAACTGGATCATTTTTTACACGAATACGACCCATTTATCTGACACGTTTAGTTAATCGGGTTAATTATGTTATAATCGTATTAGTAGGGTTAAACACGAATACAACACGTTTAGTTAACGGGTTAATCCATGTCGACACGATTACAACACGAACATGATAAGATCAAACCCAAACCTTATTATCTCGTGTTGTGTTTGTGTTGCATTAGTGTGTCATGTCAAATATTGTCACCCCTATCCAATAGCAGCAAGAGCCTTGACTTTGGGGTCCTTCGCCCCACAAGTAGTGGTCTTCTAACGCTCGGAAGAAGGAGGTAGGGCCTTTTGGTCATAATGAGGAATTTGTTTCTTTTTCCCCTTACCAAACTCAACAGTGACAACAAGAACTTTATTCATCCGCTCTTTCTCCTCCATAGTACAATTTTTTCCAAAAATCTAGGATTAACTCATATAAAGAGCCGATGAAGTGTTTGAAGCAAGATGTTCCAAGTCTCAAATGAGAGCAAAGATGGAGAAGAAGGAATCTCCTACCACACGTTGTGACGCAAATAGTCAAACCTCTACTTCACGTCTCCATACTCTAAATAGTTATGATATGCACCGAGGAATTTATTTACAAAATTAACAAATGGACTTCACATTTAACAAAGGCATCGAATTTTGGGATTGCTTAACTTTATAAGCCAATCATCATTTCATTTTAAATTCAAAATTCATTTGTTCCATCTTTGTGTAAAAATATATTTTACCTGAATTTTTTTTATGTAAAAATTCAAAAATTAAAATTTTTAATTACTAAGAAACTCGCACACCAATTTATTCCTAATAAAACTCAAATCCATAATATTTTCTTTGAAAGATAGAGATACTACTCCAATTTTTTAATTAGTAAGAAACTCGCACACCAATTTATTCCTAATAAAACTCAAATCCATAATATTTTCTTTGAAAGATAGAGATACTACTCCAAATGTGGCTATTTGAGAGATTCTTAGAACTTGGGTTTTGGTGCTGAGACTTGGGCTATATATGTCTTAGGATTTGAGTGTGTTAAGAGTTGAGACCCATTGTAATTTTGTTTTAATTAAGTTGGGCTCAGTGGCCCATTAATTGGTCAATCCAAGCCTATAACAAATTGTTTGAATTTTCAAAAAAAAAAAAAAAAAAAAAAAAAAAAAAAAAAAAAATCGATCGAAAATTCAACTCAGCAACACCAACACCACCAGCGAACCCCAATCGTTACTGAAAAAAGGAGGAGTTATTCAAGCTTTGCTGTTGGCAATGCGAGATGGATACTTTCAAGTCGTCTGGTCTCGGCGGTCCGTGACCCAATTTGACACGCAAGTCCTTTATTGAGCAGGATTTGCTCGTCATATGTGTTTGTGATGATTGATTCATAGAGATTGACGATGCTAACACTCAGATGTGTATGTGGGAGGAAACAACCTAGGGCCTTTCTTCCCCATCTTCCCATCATCATCTCCGTCAACAGCAACTCTACCACCGTGGCCGCCGCGTTTTTCTTCTACAGTTCCACCACCGCCCGCAGCAGCAACGTTGGCTATTCTCCATTCTTTCAGTTTGAGCCTCCGTCCACGGCGGCGGCAATTGGGTCAGAAGAGGACGTGGTCCATTCCTTCAGAGAATGGTTCAAGTCTCGAAACAAGCCATTGCTGGACCGAATATTCCAAATCTTGGGCTCCCAGAACGACCACCAGGAGGAGTTGTCTCGACAGTCCGCTGATGCAGCCCTCTCGCAGCTCGGCCTTTGTCTCTCCGAAGCCTTGGTGCTGGAGGTCTTGAATTACGGCAAAGATCATGTGCTCTCCTGCTTGAAATTCTTCGACTGGTCGGGTCGACAACCCGGATTCTACCACACCCGCTCCACTTTCTACGCCATCTTCAACATCCTATCCAGGGCCAAGCTCATGCCTCTCATGCTCGACTTCTTGAAGAATTACACGAAGCATAGATATGGTCACAGGGTGAGATTCTATAACACGCTTGTCATGGGCTATGCCATTGCGGGCAAGCCTGAGGTTGCACTCCAACTGTTCGGCAGAATGCGTTTTCAGGGTATCGACTTGGATGGCTACACTTACCACGTGCTTCTCAATGCCCTGGTGGAGGAGAATTGTTTTGATGTGGTTGAAATCGTGGCCAAGCAAATTGCAGTCCGAGGATTCGAGAATGAGGTCACACATTCTATATTGGTCAAGAGCTTTTGCAAGCAGAAGCAGCTGGACAAAGCTGAAATTTTCATTCGCGAGCTTGTGGGTAGCAACCGGTTATTGAACGGCCACGTTGTGGGTGTTCTTGTGGATGGACTCTGTAAGAATAATCAGTTTGAGAAGGCGGCAAGGTTGGTGGAGGAGTTTCGGGAGTCGGGTGTAGTCCCAATGGAGCATGCGTACAGTGTGTGGATTAATGATCTTGTTCGAGCTGGGAAGCTAGATGGGGCACTGGAATTCCTGCGGAGCAAGAAGTCCCTTGAAGGTTATGTCCCTGATGTGTTCCGTTATAATACTTTGATTTGCAGACTTTTGAGGGAGAACCGGCTTGAGGAGGTATGTGATTTGTTGATGGAAATGAAGGAGAAGAATAAGTATCCTGATCAAGTCACCATGAATGCTGCTCTATGCTTCTTTTGCAAGGCAGGGATGGTGGACGTTGCACTCCAGTTGTACAATTCGAGGGCGGAGTTCAGCCTCTCTCCAAGTAGCATGGCTTACAATTATCTAATCAATACGCTCTCTGGGGATGGGAGCATTGATGAAGCTTATTGCGTGTTGAAAAATTCTCTTGACCAAGGTTCCTTCCCTGGTAGAAAAACCTTTTTTATACTTGCTGATGCCCTGTGTAGAGAGGGGAAGCTTGATAAGCTGAAGGAGTTGATTCTTCTAGCTCTTGAGAGAAACTTTATGCCGAGTGATTCAATTTATGATAAGTTCATATCGGTTCTTTGTAGAGCCAGGAAATTGGAACATGGTTATTTGTTACATGGGCAACTCAACAGATCAGGTAAAGTTTCTAGTAAATATACTTACTTTAACTTGATAAGTGGTTTTAACAAGTCCAATAGGGGAGATATTGCCGCTAGATTACTCATAGAAATGCAAGAAAAAGGTCACAGCCCAACCCGAGAGTTGTTCAGAGCTGTCATTTGTTGTTTATGTACTATGGAGAATCCAGAGAAGCAATTTCTTAAATTGCTGGAGATGCAGCTATCTTGTCATGAGCCCAATTGTCAGATTTATAACTTCTTCATTGATGGAGCTGGGCACGCCAGAAAACCTGAGCTAGCTAGAGAAGTATTTGAGATGATGTGGAGAAGTGGTATCTTGCCCAATTTGAGTTCTGATATACTGATGTTGCAGAGTTATCTAAAGAACGAAAGAGTGTTTGATGCTCTAACTTTTTTTGATGATTTGTCCCAGAGAAGAAAACTTGGGAGAAAATTATACAATACCATGATTGTTGGTCTTTGCAAAGCCAAGAAACCAGACATTGCATTGGGAATCTTGATGAAAATGAAGGAAACCAAATTAAAACCAAGTCTTGAATGTTATGAGGAGCTCATAAAGTTGCTGTGCTCATATCAGAAATATGATTTTGTAGTTGGTCTTATTGAGGAATTGATGGAAGTTGGTCGTCATGTTTCATCCTTTATCGGTAATGTACTATTGTTGCACTCTCTGAAGACCAATCAGCTTTATGGGGCTTGGGTTCATTCAAAGGGTTGGCAAAATGGGACATCTTTCAGTTCGTTGCTTGGTGAGCTGATTGGTACATTTTCTCATCATATTAAAGTGAATCAAGATATTGAGGAATTGGAAAAAGTGATTGAACAGTGCTTCCCACTTGACATATACACATACAACTTCTTGTTGAGAAGGTTAAGCATCAATAACATGGACAGCGCTTGTGAGTTATTCAATAGGTTATGTAAAAAAGGATATGAGCCCAATCGGTGGACTTATGACATTTTAGTACGTGGTTTCTCCAATCATGGTATGACAACTGAGGCTAAAAGATGGGCTGAAGAGATGTCAAAGAGAGGATTTCATCCAACTGAGCATACCAAACTATTCATCTGACAGACAATTGCTTGTTGAAGGAACAGGTACTAGATGTTAAACATTTATATAGGTTTTGTGTCTTCATGACATTTGTCATTTGGAGTTTCTTAATTTAATGTTGTGCATATTATAACGGCAATTGAAGAAATAAAAAACCAAAAAGTTTCCCCCAAAAGAATGGTGCCAGTTAAGACTGTCTTTATGTTAGATTGAAATTTTCAGTTTCTGTTATTGATATGATGGTCCTGCTTTATGATTCTTGTTACTCATATTTGGTTATTTTTTCTGTAGTGATAATCTAAATTAGTCATTCTGAAAAAATATTACATGCATAAAACATGATATTGTATGCTCTTTTTCTTTTAATGGTCAATATGTGCAATTTATATGATTAAAGAGTTGATCATAATGTTGTCCACATTTTGTAGCAGCTGATATCTCGTATTGATTTTTGAGAAGACAAGTTGAAACAAACATGTATAGCAAAGTTAAGTGAGAATTTAAAGTATGGTATAGTATCGTTTTTCCTTTCCATTTGCAATATCTTCAGTTCCTTGACTTCTCCTAAAGTAGTTGAAATATGAGGTTTTGTAAGTGTGGGTACTGAACCCCATGTCATCACGTTGTTCATATAGCAAGTCTGTGGCACTAACCATAATTTTTGTCATCAAAACTACGCTCTGTTAGACATCTATCCATTATTACCTTATGACAACTATGAGAACAAAAGATCTTTTCTTTTTTTTTTCTTTTTTTTTCCTCCTTATTTTAGTTAGTCTTTTTATGCGCTGGTGTAGGTAGGGGCCATTGCCTTGGGAAGTGGTGAAAGCTCAGGCTTTCACAGGTAGAACGTGGGTTCCAATATTGAGAGCAATAATTTTGTGTAAATATTGCCAAATGTTAAGTCTGTTTTCAGTCCAACCCTCTTAGCTCATAAACATAAATTGTATATGACTTCAAAAGAAAATCTAAAGAGCAGAAAAAAGTGCACTGATACAACAGATCTCTAAAATATATGACAAGGGATAAAGAGGACCATTATCCAATTTTAGTCTGTCCAGTGCAGTGTTCTGGGAGGAATAAAATGAGTATACTAGTTTGAATATAAGCTTTAGTATTATTTGCATGCCGAGACTCAACTATTTTTTGACTGTGCTATTACATGGATTCGAATGCGTGTACCGGGTGCAACTGTGTCTCCATATGTCAGATTTGCTGAATTCCAAATCTTCGTATACTGGCTTGTAATTTGTCCAAAACTTGGGTACAGGCAGATTGACATATCTAGCTCATTTAGCATTTTATATAAAAGTTTTATAATACTGTTGTTCTTTAAAAATATATTAACTGATAATTTAAATTAAATATGTTGCGATGAAGAAACCGGGATTTTATCTATCAAACAAATATGCAACCCCTCTTTGCTTTCAAAATAAGTTTGTTTCTTCGTCCATCATCACATATAAAGTAAATGTTCTGACACACATTCTATACGCATACTCATGTCATGTGATGTGTTGACATAGGTATGTTAAGGGGAATAGGGGAGTCCATGTAACACAGGTTATGTGAACTCAAATAAGTGCACCACGTTTGGATTTGTGTAGTATCAAATTCCAACCCCTAGGTCACTAGGAACACTGCTAAATATTCATATTTTTTTATATTGTTCTTTTTATTTTGGGGTTAAGTGGTGTTTTATCACTCATTTTGAAGTAATAATTTAACAAAAGAAATATATTAGAAGTGTTTTATATTATGTACATTATATAATAAACTTAAATAATTTGGATATGCTTACCAAGGCTCATGTGCACCCCGGCATGTCTAGAACATTTCTCATATCTTTGCCTAGGTGTAAATTGTTTGACATGGATATTTGACACATTTAAAAGTAACTTTGATTATGGTGATATTAGATGTGCTTGCTGATTGCATGTCCAATGAGACATGTCAAACACTTCAAATATCCATATCCTTTTGTCATCTGTAGAATACAATATTTCACACATTTAGAAGAATCCATGTAACATAAATTATAGTGGATAGAATTCACTCCACATATAAACCTTTTGTTGGATTGTTTCCACCTTAGGAACTCCACGTCCTCAATGATGATCTTTATATAACAACCTTTATTGTTTGTTTTGGCAAGATTGAAAGTTGAAGATACTTTTCTGTACTCCCTAGTTTCATTTGAACCCATTGTAGCGATATCAACATGGAGGGTTTGGGGTTCCTACCCGACCAACAAAAAAATTAATTTTCAAACCCTTCTTGCTTCACCCTACATTAGAGTCAGGGCGGGTTCAAGTTGCCCAACAAGCATACTTTTTATTTTAAAAAAATAAAAAATCAATTTGAATAAATTTATAATAACTTTTTAGAAAAATACTTAACAATCATATTCATGAATTTTCGTATATATATGATTTGCAATATATATATATATATATATATATATATATATATATATATATATATTTATTGCAAATCAAATTGAGGCGTGTCTATTTCTTTTAACCCATATGAACTAAATATAGCTAGCTTAAGAAACACAGCTTTTTAAAAAAATATCTTCTAGTCATTATATAACATTTTTCATTGCTAGCTTCATAACATTGTTGGGTTCATCAGGGTATGCCATTCCTTGTCTCTTGTACTATATTGTTCAAAATATATTGAAACTCCTTCATTGTTGGGTTCGTAGATTTCCTTTGGGAATTAGAGATTCAGTTAAAGTAACAAAATTAGAAGCAAGACAAATATTTTATGGAAAAATCATTTTGTCTATATATATATATATATATATATATATATATATATGCATGAGTTTGCAGATCAATATTCATTTTAATTACATATATATATATATATATATAAACAAGTAGAATTAATCCTAATCTTGAAGATGAGAAGCCTTGTCTTTAATTGCCACCATCATCATCGGAATGACCAAACTTGAACAGCATCATCTTCAACAAAATTATTGGCTTTGTCAACTACTTTCCAAGGCTTAACCAACACATACATTGGGGTAGGTTTGGTGTTAGTACCCTTCTTCTCCATGTCCCACCTCTTCAACTTTGTCCTAAATTCATTCAACTCTGGATCAATCAATAAAGCTTCTATTCCCAACCATTCCTTTCTTTGTTTCATCTTCAACCTCACCTTCTCATCCTCGGTCAGGAATTCACTTCTCACATCGTTTACCGGCATTGACAAATGATTGTGAATGTTGCTAAGATCAGTTGGGAACAAACCCTTTTGTATCACCAGCTTGATCCTACAACCACCAATCTCCCCGATTCAATTCCTCATCCATATAGGCATGTCTGGTGGTGGGTTTGGACCATTATGCTGCTTCTTCTTCTTCTTCTCACCGTTGTTCTTTCTTTAGATTATCAAATTTTGATAACTGGCCAATCTTTCATTGTTGGGTATGTCAAGAATGGATTATTAATGGGTTTATTCTTTATAAATAGGGACTCTTTGAGGGTTCCTAATTTACTTGTAAACCAAGTGTCTAATTGTTTAAATATGTAGAAGTTGAAGAGAGAAATTAAACATGAAGAACACAAGAATATAACGTGGTTTAGCCACTAAGGCATACATCCATGGCACAAAGAGCCCAAAGGGCTACATTACTCTTACTATATTCCCTCTTAATATTGTTTACAATCAGCACCTCTATTTATAGGTGAAAAAATACAAGTGATAAATATGGGAAATACATTGATGGAGGATTCCTAAAATCAATCCCATAAACCACTCCAATCAATATTCTAGGCTAAAATCACTCCTATGATATTCTCCAACACATATCAAATATACTAACCGAATCACAGCAAGATTAATTCCTTAACGGCTTGTTCCCTGTTTGGCTTTGTTTGCCACACTTGTTCCCTGTTTGTTTGGGTTTGTTTGCTGCGTGTGTTTCTGGGCAAAAGTTAGCTCTCAAGAAACCAATTGTATATCAGAAGATTTTCTGGATAGAGAATCTTTGTGATGGATGAGTTGTGATGATTTAATAAATGTTTTGGTGTAGTGGAACTTGTGAGTTAATAATGAGTTTAGTCCTCTAGATTTCTGCAGTATTTGGTGTTTAAAATTGATATTATGTAGTGTTTTCTTATGAAGGTAACTTCTGATTTTTTTTTTTTTTTGGCTTCACTCTTTAGCAAAAGTCTCCAAATTGCTTGGGGAGAAAAAAAGTGTCTCCAAATTATATGAGTTTGAGGGAAGATCAACTGCAACCCAAACTGGATGAGAAGTCATCTCACCTGAGGTAGAAGAGAGGGAAGGTGATGCATTTGAATGTGAAATGGATGACCGTATGTTGGTCCAGTTGTTGATTTATTTTATAAAAGAAAATTGTTGTGTGTAAGTCATAGATGTGGAATCTTATTAACGCATCAAAGTTTCGTTAAAATTATCGGACTCAAGGGAAAATTAAAAACGTATCAATTCCATAGAACAAGAGATTGCCTCCTTTAAGGTATTTAATATGAGTGTATTAACTCTTATAAATGAGTAAATTTTTTAAATGTCTCGTAGCTCCTGCTCCAAATTTCTCGAGGGAAAGAGTCGGGGAAAAAATTTGCAACCTACTGGTTTGAAATTCAATAACCAGGATAAAAAATTATGCATTCATAAAAAGGTACCAATACAGCTTTGTGAACAGTGGATTAACTTAGGCATTAGCCTAGTTGATAGGGCACCCAACTCCCTGAGCGGGTATGTCCATGTTCAAGTCCCCCCTCCCCCTTGTTTGCCAGGATTAAGAGAAAAAATACAGTGGATTAACTCATTCAAAGCTTTGAGGGCGGTGCTGCATTCTTATCTTTCCTACACAATATTGTGAATGCATATCTCTTCCAAATTATGATCAATGTGTACTTGTGGAGTGCAAGTGCCTTTCAACTGTGAGTTCATGGTTCGGCTTAACCATGTGCTATAGAACCTTAATATTGTGCAGATCAGCTTGTTTATCTGGGCAGACTTTTTTTACAAGTTCTTATTATTCATTCATTCTTTGATTATCTTAATCTGATCAATTTACAAATCTTTTATCTATTTCCTGAATCCACTGCCTCTTGTCAGAAGAGAACTCTGTATCCAGATTTTATATTGCTTGCTTGATATTTGAATTATTTCTTCTTAGAAAACCAACTTCAAAGAGTGGCAACAACTGCTGCAAGAAATCGTCCGGTTTATGAAAGCTGATATATCCTCAATGAACATTCAGCCTTTGCGGCATTGTCCTATGTTTGATTCTTATATATCCAGCTTCTCTCCCATACGTAACACGTTTCCATGCAAAGAATGATCTAAAATTTCGCGCTACACTGCTTAGAAGCTATCACCAGAAATAGGTAATTAGTCTTAATGGCTGGCTATCGGTATGACACTGTTTGGTACTTGATGATTCCAAAAATGATTAGCAAAAAAACTCTCCTGCTTTTGCATTGTCATTTCAGGTCAAGTTTGCTGAACTTACTTTGGACACTTTTAGAATGCTGCAATGTTTGGAATTGGAACTAAGTGGATCTTCCTATGAAAAGCATCCGATTGAATCGCATGAGAATGGTGTGTCAATTGATCATTCTGGTACTTCTGGACTAATCGATATGAATCTAGCTGCAGATATAACTGATCCAACTTTATCTCCAAAGTCCAAACCCAAGGAAGGCTATTCTCTATTGTCCATCAGTGGCGCAATTGATAGCTGTGAGTTTTAGAGCCTCAACATAGTTATATGTATTGCAGTTAACTTGCTTTATTTGTAAGTAGGAGTCAATAGAGTTGCTGCTTCTACTCAAGGATCCAAGATAAGAGTTTGGATCAAATGGTTATGCTTATACTTTTGGTGGGCCTTTCTGCTTTCTTTTTTATGTTCTTCTAGTAATTAGGCTACACAAGGACATCATAATTCTCATTGAAAAATTTATTCCAACCTACTCCTCTTTATAGCATTAGATTTAAGTACCATGTCTTTGTACTGCATTACACTTGTTTTTGGCGATTTTTACATTCTTTTGAAAATGGGATTGCATCAAGTGTGATGTATCTGTTATACTTTGTGTAGCAGTGTCTGGGAAACAACAAATAGAAGGGGCAGTTGTCTTAGATACTTAAATACATATTTTCTGTCCATTTTTTTTTTCCCGATAAATCATATTTTTCGTTCTTCCCTTGCTGCACATCCTTTTTTTATTTTTTTCCTTCTCCTGAGAAATTCCATTCATTTTTGGATATCTTACTTGTATGTGTTATGTTTGGTTGGTCGATCATCTATGGCAAGGTTATTGCTACAATCTGTGAGGAGCTCCCTCCAGATAGTGTAGTGCTAATATATATATCTGGCTCAAGTTACTTTTGTTTTTATTGTTATCTTAAAAGTGAACCGATCATTGCCTTACAATCCTGGATAACTTACACCAGTGATCTAAATGCAGGGAAGCTTGGTCAAAGTAATGTTTCTCTGATGGAAGGCATCAGAGATACAAAGAAATCTTCAAGGATTAAAGTTGTTTCTCATACCTCTCATGAGCAGAACGGCTTCATGCCTGAAAATCATGCTAATTACAAAGGGGACTCAAGCCACTGTTTTGAAAATTATATGTATGTAGGTCCTAGCAGAAATGGAGTTAAGCAACCAATATTTGACTCGTCCTGTGTCCGGTACAGTGTTTATTCTGAAGGGTTCGGTCATTATAATCTCTTCTTCTTCTTCTTCTTCTTCTTTTTCTTTTGATAGGTAAAAGCTCATGCACCCAACATTCACACAGCGACTAATGCCCCAGTGAAGACTTGAACCCTCAATGTCTGGGAGGAGGATGAAATCTTACTAGGCTGAGCCTTTTGTATTATAATATCATTTTATGCACCCTTGATAGTACTTTTGAATTTTCAGGTTCAAATAACCTCTACCCTGGTGATATAATTCTTTTTCCCTGAAGACTGCTTTTACAATAGCCGTGCATTCAAGGCAGGTTTGTCAAAACTTTTGAATGACTAGCTTGCCGGTTGCTGCACTACTTCTCATTAATCATAAGATAGACTCATAGAAGTAGAACAATAGATTCTAACCCATGGTTTTGCTTTGGCCACATGAAATGCTAATGTAATTAATCCCTTCATGTCTATGCTACATGATGACTTTGGAGACAGCTTTGTCCCTGAAAGGGGAACTGACCAGTAAATTCATGAAAATTTGAGTTGATAACTTTGTGGAACTTATCAGATAGAAAAATAAAAAGTCAAATATTTACGGTTTTCTTCTCTCTTTTACTTTCCTCCTTACTTTCACATTTAATTGACAAGTTTGAAATGTTAATACTGACTGTTGCATATTGATCTTAAATAACTCAACT